GCCTGGGAACGCCTTGGCATTCCCCCGGAGGAGCTGGAGGAAGTGTCTGGAGAGAGGGAAGTCTGGGCATCTTTGCTCAGACTGCTGTCCCCACGACCCGGTTCCGGATAAGCGGAGGAAAATGGATGGATGGATGGATGTTTACCATGTGGCTCATGAGATAAAAATCCTGGTGCCTCACTTTCAATTTATTATTACAAGTTATCGATAATCATAATTTGTTGTCCAAATCTGCTACAATGGCGTCTATTTCACTGCCAGTACGAAGCAAGTCAACTTCATTTTTCGTATAGTTTTCCATGGACACATACAGCTATTCTTCTTTAAATCAGTCATGTTACAGGCATTACTAACAGCAGGTAAACTCAGTTTAGCCTCAGTGGGCACTGCTGTCTCACTATTTAGTAACAATATCCTCAGTCAAGTTTCTCAAAGACATACCTTATCACTACCTTGGTGATGCATGTTGTGTCGATTTTTGCATTTCATGAGGTTGTGATCGCGCCAAAAGCAGCTGTGATGTATCTTTAATAGGCTGCATGGTCCCACGGAACACAAGAGGTTTTTGGATCACTTTTAGTACACCACCACAAATACAGTGATAATGTATTTTTATTGTATTATTTTAAATACAATAAAACATTTATAAAGTTATATTAAAAAGCCGAGAGCCCCCCATCCATTTGGCACGCTGGATGCAGCTCTGAGTAAATTACACTGTATAACTGCTGCTGGTTACAGGACCAGAGTTGGTCTTTCTTTCAGGCACAAAAGCTGGTCAGTGAAATCAGTAGACTACTGGTGGACACGCCCATATGTGCCTGGCGTTTAGATATGTACCACTACACACTATTCCAGAAAAATAGAGCCATGTCACTGACCTCATACTTTCTGTCTGCACTGTGTGGGCAGACCTGAATTGTATAAGAAGCAAAGATTACATCAAATATTAATGGAGCAGAGGCAGTTCATGTTACAGTGGCTCCACTGTTGCTCAATGGACAAAGTTAACGCAAGAGTTCCTCACCTCCGAGACCGATTCCAAGAGCGAGAGTGAACACCACAAAGAAACATGAAGCAATTAGCAGCTTGAAGTGTTGAGTTAGCAATCTGTCCTTCCAGCTTTTATCCAAGTCATCGTCTGTGGAAACAAAGTAGTTCATGAACATCTACTGTGTTTACAAATGAAACATTAACAGGAGACAGGATAACTACAGAGAACAGCTGTATTTTGGTGGTTTTGTTCTTATATTAATGGAATGTTTACAGAAATGTCAATGCCTTGTTTCTGTAACGTTAGAGAGAACTAAGTCTGCATTATGTCAGTTAAAACATGGGCTTTCTTACTTTGTTTAGAGTGTTACACATCTCTTTTCATCGGTACATATACCGTTTACCCATCTATGTCCACTTTCATTTTCGGTCAGGTAGGATTTGAGATCACTGTTGAAAATGGAGCTTATTTGTGTTTTTTGTTTATGCGTTGTCGCGGCTGCCTGGCTGATCTTGTGCCAGTGTTCCCGTCGGGATGTTTATATCTTTGCTGGCCATTCCGATCCCTCATTCTTTTGTCCCTCAGGAGAATTTCTAATAATCTTGTAGTCCTTATTTACTAAACTACATTTTTAGTTTTCAGTCATCTTTTTCCATTATTGATCTGGTTAGTCATTCAGTAATCTAAAGCTTCCACAGAGCTTTCTGTCTTGGTAAGGAAACCACATTTCTGGGGAAATGAAGAGGACTAAGAAACAAAGGTTGAAATACATCCCTTTAGCAGTATTATCCCCAGAAGAGTGTTATTCACGTCATGTCACATTTCAGGCAGATCCTACTGCAACTCTGCCTTTGAGTAGTAATCTCCATATCCACTGTTTCATGCTGTACCATTAGCTCTAGAACATCACAGAGTCTCACCATGGAAGAATGGCTGCACCTTGGTGACTGGCATGGTCGCACTGGGTGCTGAAGGCTGGAATTCTTGATGTTTGACCGAAATGTTCTCTGACTGGGGGATAGCAGAAAAGCTGCCCGCACTGGGGGTCTTGACAATTGGGAGGTCTTCCTCTGACACCGAGACCACCTCAATCCTGCAGGGGTCTGGCTGGTCAGGAGCCTCTGCCTTAAGTTTTTAAATGGAGATGACATGAAGCAAAACTGTTTATATATGACTCTACCACCCATTTTACTAAAAATGTGACATCTACTGAACAGTTTGGATATCAGAGACAAGCATGAAAACTTAAAAGATGTATTTGGAACAACTTGCTAAAAGACATGCTTGTTGTGACTAACAGGTGAATCTCTGGACCCCCATATTAAGGATGGCGTTGAAGGCTTCCGCGTTACTAGTCAGCTGTTAGCAAACTACAATCAGGGTACAGAGGGTTAATGCACAGTGGTGAATCTAAATGGTGCTGAGACAAAATAAAAAATAACCAACCTTAACTACAACCAAAACTAGCTCTGAAACACAGTGAACAGGCTGCAGGGTGCGGGGACTGCATGGAACACACGGTGTCATTGTTATTATAGATGGATAATGACTACTTTTGATTAATCCATCAACAGTCTGATCAGTTTACAGTGACATAGACAGAAAGTCCTTTGTGTTTTCATCTTATTGTTTCACTGACTATATTTTATCCACTTACTGATTGGTGGGTTGATGTGTTGGCAGCAGGGTCTGTGAAAAAGAGATGAGAAAGCAGAATAGGTAGAGATGATGGTGAAAAAGAGAACAAATTGAACTGGTGAATACAATGAACAACAGAATGAAAATCCTTAGCAGTAAAGGCTGGATGAGTTGTATTCCTTGGTTTGACCAAATTATGTCCAACCTACTGATCTCCATGAAGCTTTTCATCATCAGGCCATTGTCCACACTTGACCGTATCTCCCCAGCTCCTTATTTGTCTCTCCTTTGCCCTTTCTTTTTCTATTTTCTCTTGCCCCTTTATTTGTATTAACGGTCTGCCCTCCTGCCAAGACTGCACTTTGGTATAAAGGGACACCTGAGCAGGTAAGTGCTACCACTCAGACTGGGGATCAAGTGACACTGCACCTCCCACTCTGGGGTAGGGTTGCACATTTGTGTGTCCCCAAAGTGGCCGGGGAGTTGTGTGGGGAGACAGGTGGATGAAGAGGAAAGCTGCTGCTCACTCCCTGGACACTTTCCTGTGGCTTCGTCAGCAGATAGACGCCTGACAGAAGTTGGGCCAAGAAAACTAAAGCTACTTGCACTGCTAGGTATCCGTTTTCATAAGAAGGTGAACTGTTCAACCTGCTTTCTTGCCCAATATAATTAAGCCATATATGTCAAATTATTAGTCAGCATATAAACTGAAAAGACAATTTTTGCTGACAAAGCAATTTTCAATGGAAAGAAAAAAAGAGTAGAAGAGCAGGAAACTGATATTAAAGCCATTCCTGCCAAATTAGCCAAGTAAGCTAGTTAGCCTAGGTAATGTCATACATACCTGATGGCTGGTTTAGAAACAGGTGCTTGCCTGTTGATCTTCCAGTATAACAGAATCATTATTTAACAAAACCAAAACAAACCGAGGCAAAGTTTTAGCAAATACTATAGCTTAATATTTTATATGTTTCTTTACTGTGTTCACTAGATTCTTGACTTGGTAATAATGAGTGTTTCCCCTTTTTTGTTTGTAAAATTTTAGATCCAATCCAACTTGTAACACACTTCAACACAATATTATCATAAAAATAGATATTTTTTATTTACATGGTCATGAACTCTAAAAACAATCATCAATAAAACACATCCAGACTTATATGTTAGCAAACAGTTTGCTATATACATATCCAGCAGACAGAAAGCAACATGATCACTGATTTGCATTTATGTTCTGAATACCTGATGAATGTCCACTCTCTTTTAGATGTTTTGGTCCCAAACCTCTTCTGAGGAAATATCTTTGTCTTTAGTTGCTAAATGCGCCACCATGCTCACTAGCTACTAAGACAGTGTACTTTGGCTTTATCAGACTGATGAGAGCACAGATTTTCTGGCCCAAAAATTTGCTTCAAAAGTCTAAAAATGTTTGTAGAGCTGAGTGTAACTGCAGGGCCAGTTTTCTGTAGGTTTGCAGACACTAGCGCTGACTGTACGGATCCTACAGCACCTACCTAAGTTAACTACCGCTGACTGTACGGATCCTGCAGCACCTACCTAAGTTAACTACCGCTGACTGTACGGATCCTACAGCACCTACCTAAGTTAACTACCGCTGACTGTACGGATCCTACAGCACCTACCTAAGTTAACTACCGCTGACTGTACGGATCCTACAGCACCTACCTAAGTTAAAGAGTAACTGCAGCTACAGTACGTCACTTTTTTCCCAACTGGTTTTGCTGTAGAACTATGCTCCAAAACTGGTCTTAAAACTTTTTCTACTGTGCAAAATGCATATACAATAAAAATTAATAATACAACAGGCTTTCTACTCTAAATGCATAATGATGCTAGAGTACATGCTAGAGAGACACATGGTGACGCCCAAAATGCCCATTTTGGACTAATCAACATGGATGAGTGAATGATCCTTAGGGTGAGCCAGGTCTTTTGAGTAAGCTGGGTATCTGCAAATATAAAAGTAAGTAAAACTCCAAAGAAAACCACCAGTTTTGTCACATGGAGTGATGTGTGACTTGTCAATTTCTCATAGGCTGGAGCTGCTCATAGGCAACTGTTTGGCTCCAGGCTGGTAGTGGACCCTGTTCACAGTGTTCTCCGAGGTAGGAAGTGGGTGCAGGCATGATGGCGGCTCACACGGTTGCCCTTCCTGAGCTCTCCTTTGTGGGAAAGAGCCAGGTAGATGCCTGGGTGAGACAGAGATGAGTAGGTAGTGTAATGATTCTCCTCCAGGTTCTCCTTCAGCAGGCAGTTATCAGAAAACTCCTCCTGTAAAACACAGCCAGGAAGACATTTATTATTATCACCGTAGCATTGCATTAAGCAGCCAAATATTAGAATGCTATTGCACCCAGCTCTGAGAAAGTAGACATACATGACACATTTAGACTGCTGGTGTGAGCTGGGCAGTGGGCTACGTACCGCTCCATACGCCAGTCCTTCTTCATTCATACAGAGATACAAGCCACTCCTGACTCCTCTGATTCCTACCACTCCCTGCTTCATAGCGAACACCTTCAGCCAAGCTTGTGGAAATTGAGAAATGCAGGGTATAGCATTACATTAAGGCTTGCATTAAGGTATATCACAGATACCTCTGAACTCTCCACATGTATACTGGATCTCGGATATTGGCTACGTGCATTTCAGCTAAACTTTACATATGACTGCACCCCAACAAATATACAGAACATAAAAATGCAGGTTTCAAAAACTTAAAGCATTAATATGTGGCCATGGTAGGGGCTTAAACTGTATGTGCATGTGGACTGAACTCACAGTACTCAGTGGGTTTGTGGACACCTCCCACAAAGCCACCGGGCAGAATCTGGAGATGGAAGCCAATCCCAACACGGCAGTAGAGCCGCCGAGTTAACTACCGCTGACTGTACGGATCCTACAGCACCTACCTAAGTTAACTACCGCTGACTGTACGGATCCTACAGCACCTACCTAAGTTAACTACCGCTGACTGTACGGATCCTACAGCACCTACCTAAGTTAACTACCGCTGACTGTACGGATCCTACAGCACCTACCTAAGTTAAAGAGTAACTGCAGCTACAGTACGTCACTTTTTTCCCAACTGGTTTTGCTGTAGAACTATGCTCCAAAACTGGTCTTAAAACTTTTTCTACTGTGCAAAATGCATATACAATAAAAATTAATAATACAACAGGCTTTCTACTCTAAATGCATAATGATGCTAGAGTACATGCTAGAGAGACACATGGTGACGCCCAAAATGCCCATTTTGGACTAATCAACATGGATGAGTGAATGATCCTTAGGGTGAGCCAGGTCTTTTGAGTAAGCTGGGTATCTGCAAATATAAAAGTAAGTAAAACTCCAAAGAAAACCACCAGTTTTGTCACATGGAGTGATGTGTGACTTGTCAATTTCTCATAGGCTGGAGCTGCTCATAGGCAACTGTTTGGCTCCAGGCTGGTAGTGGACCCTGTTCACAGTGTTCTCCGAGGTAGGAAGTGGGTGCAGGCATGATGGCGGCTCACACGGTTGCCCTTCCTGAGCTCTCCTTTGTGGGAAAGAGCCAGGTAGATGCCTGGGTGAGACAGAGATGAGTAGGTAGTGTAATGATTCTCCTCCAGGTTCTCCTTCAGCAGGCAGTTATCAGAAAACTCCTCCTGTAAAACACAGCCAGGAAGACATTTATTATTATCACCGTAGCATTGCATTAAGCAGCCAAATATTAGAATGCTATTGCACCCAGCTCTGAGAAAGTAGACATACATGACACATTTAGACTGCTGGTGTGAGCTGGGCAGTGGGCTACGTACCGCTCCATACGCCAGTCCTTCTTCATTCATACAGAGATACAAGCCACTCCTGACTCCTCTGATTCCTACCACTCCCTGCTTCATAGCGAACACCTTCAGCCAAGCTTGTGGAAATTGAGAAATGCAGGGTATAGCATTACATTAAGGCTTGCATTAAGGTATATCACAGATACCTCTGAACTCTCCACATGTATACTGGATCTCGGATATTGGCTACGTGCATTTCAGCTAAACTTTACATATGACTGCACCCCAACAAATATACAGAACATAAAAATGCAGGTTTCAAAAACTTAAAGCATTAATATGTGGCCATGGTAGGGGCTTAAACTGTATGTGCATGTGGACTGAACTCACAGTACTCAGTGGGTTTGTGGACACCTCCCACAAAGCCACCGGGCAGAATCTGGAGATGGAAGCCAATCCCAACACGGCAGTAGAGCAGCTGCTGTTTGAAACTTTCTCTGACTGGATCCAAATTAGAACCTGCATTTAAAAGAGAGGATGTGTTGCAGATAGATGGTGTTTACAACTTGTCCATCTGGACGGTGTCATCCAGGAGGAAATAACTGTAAAGTTTCAGAGAGTTTCTATTTCTTTCAGAACATCTTGCAGTGATTTTGCTAAACACATCTGTCTTAACACAATGCTATGATACTGTAAGCATTCCTCCTGTTCAAAGTGACTGGGAGACAGTCCTGCTTCTGTGCAAGCATTTGTCTTAAGCTCAGCTGAA